GCCCTATTTGGTTTTTTGTGCCAAGGGGTCCGGGTCCACTTAGGAGAGCGAGTAAAGTGAGCTCGCCTTCGCTTCGATTGGATTCCCACCCCCCTCCCCTGGTTAGTGTTGTTATGCATCTTCATTCTTCTTGATACAAAATATCTTTCATAGAAAGTATACAAAAATATGACCTCGCCTTTGTATTTCTCCAAAGTGGTGTACCCTTTTCAAAACTAGTGGAGAAAGTTGTTACCACCTTCTAATCTCCTGCCCCTTTGTTGTAAGCCTTTGGGAAAAGCTTTTCGGTCCTTTTGGTTACAAGTGGAATGTGCCCCTATAGATTGGTAGCCTTTTTGACCTTACAACCTTCAAATGGCTGAAGAGAAGAGGTAAAGTTGTGGAGATGTGCACGGGCTGCCTTGGTTTGGACGGTGTGGGAGGAAAGAAATGCCAAAATCTTTAATGTTAAGGAAAGGAATGTGGAGGCAGTTTGTGATGTATAATTAACAGGGCTATACATTGGGCTAAATCAATAGATTTTCAGACTATTCCTTTGATGTTATATCATAGAATCAGTGATTTAAAAGGCACGCCTAGGCGCACGTCCCAGGTGTAACACTTTCAAAAAGGCACACACTTGGTGCTCCTTGTGCTTCAGCCTAAGCATGTGCCTTTTGAAAATCTTTGCATTTTTTCTGTTTTTTTGGTGTTTAACAGTTGGGTTGGTGGCTCCGAAAACCCCAAATTTTGCTAATGTTGCTCATTCATTCATCCTAATAAATGATATTTATTATTATTATTTTTTTGATTTTTTTTGAAGGGCTACACAACAGGGGTAGCTCATACCCCCACCCAACCTAGGTGCAGGTGGGATTTGATCCCTAGTCTCCGCTATGACCAGCAGGAGACCTTACCAACCCGCTTGTTCGCACCTTGCAATGAAAGATATTTTTATGACATACTTAAAGTTATAAAACCGTTTTTATAGGGGTTACAAATTTAAAACCCCGATATGGACTTGTTTGGGCTTGCCTTGGGGGGCTTGGTACAAAGGTAGCTCATAGAATCACGAACGCATAATGTTTAACATAACAGTAGCTATTTGAAGTAATGCAATTGGGAAAAAAATAAAGAGATTAAGAATTTATATGCTTGAATATGTTTTATATGTTATGCTTGATTTTATTTTTAAACTTTCATTTTAATTATGTTTTACATGTTGTGTTTATGTATTTTAATTTGAATAGGTTTTTCAAAGCATTTATTTTAAAATTTATGTTTATATTTTTAATTAATAATGTGCTTAATATTTTTAAGTTTTTGGCATTTTTTATATATTTTTTTGTTTTTTTTGAAATTTTTATTTTTTTTGCATTTTTTGCACCTTGCTTCAAAAAAGGCGCATGCTTCGGGCGGAAAATGGCCCTTGTGTGTTTTTTTTTTGTACCTTGCACTTTACACTGGGCAGAATTGGAAGTTTGTGGCAAATAGCTCGATTGTTAAAGATAAACCTGTTGTAGCTTGGATACCCCCTGAAGAAAGTTTTGTGAAATTAAATTATGATGGCAGCAGCCTAGGAAATCCGGGGCCAGCGGGTATAGGAGGAGTATTTAGAAATTCCAAAAGGCACATTCTTTCTTTATTTTCAGGTCTTGTTGAGTAGGGGATTTGGTGCATGCTGAGTTCCAAGCAGTAATGCAAGGAGTACAGGTTGCTAGAGAGTTAACTGTGATAGGCTGTTAGTTGAAGTAGACTCTAAGCTGATAGTTGGATGGTTGAAGGAACCGGATACAGTGGTCTGGAAATAGTTGGATGGTTGAAGGAACTGGATACAGTGATCTGGAAATACAGGAAAGTAATGAAAAGTTAGATGGCTGATTAGAGATATGACTATTAGTACAATGGGAAAGGGGATCCAGCTAATGGGTTGGCTGATTATTTAGCTAAGCAAGGGGTGCATTAGTCTCGGTTGTTTTGGGCTCAGTTGTAACTCTGTTTTCGTAATGGAAGCGGCACCTCAAATGTCTGTATGGATGCTCTCTTTCTAATGTTCCTGTTTCTTAATAATTTATTATTATTATTATTATTATTTATCAAAAAAGAAACAAAAAAAAAAAGATGAGATCCTCCTTCCTCTTCTTCTTCTTATACCCTTTTCTGCAATATTCTAGTCCTAAAAGAGGTTGCCATGTTGATTTTTGAAGGCAACAGAACATAAATGCAAGTTAGTCAGAATCCATTATTATGGAGATCACTGACATTAGAATTTTGAGATTTGAAATCAAATTGCAGTGTGAAGAGTCTAGTCTATTCATTTTTAATGTGGTTTGGATAGGAATTATTCAATCTAGGGTGGAAGAAGTAAAGGCATACTAGGTGCGTAGTCGTTGCTTACACACCGGTAAGTAGTCAACTGCAGGATTAGATTTCTATGTGAGGGAACTGAAGTGTGGCTAATTGTTTTTACTATAAAAGTCAATTGTATGCAAGTCTGTAAATAAAATCCATTGTACATTTTGAAATCCTTGCTCTTCCCCTATTTAGCAACTTTTGCAACCATGTCAAATAGAAACATGCTTGTGATAGTTTTCTATTGTTGTTTCTTGCATTCTTACTTTTGTTACCAGGAGCCAACTGTGAAGATTGTTGCAAAGAAACATTACTGTATGCTAATGAATTCTATTATTTTATATCCTCTGAGGAGACAACTAATCAAGACATTTTAAATACTAAAGCACTGAGATAAATATAACAAGAATGACCTTGTTGTACTCTTTGTTTAAATGTTTTTATTTTGATCAGCTATTCTTTGTTTAAATGTTGTAGGAAGTTCTGAGAGTCAAAGCAGAGCACGTTGATGACAGCCAAGCCATCTTGAATGATAGGGTGAAGGGACAATTGAAGGTCACTAGAGCATTCGGTGCTGGATTTCTCAAGAAGGTTAGTTTAATGTGTAGTGTTCATCATTTATTGCATTATCTCTGCAATGTGCAATCTATTATTTCTGTGGATTTTCTCTACTTTACTCAACAAGCAAATTGTTTGGTTAAATGATTGAGCATGTTTTCTTCCTTTGGTGGTTTTGATGTTAATGGCTCTTTGCATCTTTTTCTGCTTGCATGTGTCTGAATTTGCTCAACAAACTCTTAGGCACATGTGAGTTGGGGATGCTTCACAGAAAGCACTTGGAAACACATACACACAAACATGCACAAGGGTAGGTATGCTAAGAACTTGTCAATCAATGGAATTGCTGTATGCAGCAAGTTGAGAGTGAATGCTCAGTTTTATTGAGTTTATGCTTAGGAATAGGTAATGTGGTCATTTTAAAGGTCATGGTTAGTTAGGTCGGTCTAGTCTTTAGTTTTAAATGTCTAAAAGTGGTTCAACCAGTGGTTCCATTTACAGGTTGTTTTTTTTTCTTTTTTTTTTTTTTAATTTTCTTTGTGTTTTGAATCTTTTCACAAATAAAATGGCAATCACCTCAATGTGTTCTGTCCTCTCATGAAACACTTCCAAGCTAATGGCATCTTGATTGTCACAATGAAGATGCATAGGAAGTGGTATGAGAAAAAACTATCTCTTGAAGAAGTGTCTTTTACCACATTAGCTCACATGTAACAGTGTTTTCAACCCAGAATTGATCCAGCTGGTTGAACCACCATTTGGGTCGGATTCTGTTGAAACCCACCATTTGGTAAAAAAATGTTGAAACCTGTGAAAATTACCTTGATGTACACTATTAGAGTAGTCCTTGTTGTACAGTATCGTATTCTTATTATTTTATTTGTTCTTTTTTTCCTTCAGCCTTGTAAGGGCATTCTTGTAACTATACATATCTTTTATCTCTTTAATATAAAAGAAACTCTTTAGGGTGGGGGTCGACCGTTCTTGACACCCCTAATTCTGTTTTCCTCTTTCTCTCAATTCGGTTCACTGTTCACATGGTATCAGAGCAGGCTGCCCTTTGATCTTCTTTCTCTATGATTCACCTTGTTTTCTTGATCTATTGAGAACTTGCATCTCTGCTGATTGGTCCTGGACTGTTTTGATCTTTCCAGGAACCATTTTTCTGTTTTCTATGCATCCAAAGAGAGATTTTATTGGATCTCTCTCGTTTGACATCCGTTTGCAACAAGATCTGAAAGGAGTTGTTGCCTAGCCATTCAACATACTCTGGAAGTTTTACTGAGATCCGTGAAGTTTTGAGAGAGATCTGGACTTCTCTTCTAGGCGGTTGTGCCCAGACTTTCCTTTTTTGGACTGTGTGTTCAGTTTTCTTCTTCTATTGGATCTTGAACAATCTTTGGTGAAAGTAAGGGGTTTCTTTATCAGTTTTTAACTCTCGTGGATTTGATTACAGCTTATTTCACTCGTTTTTTATCAAGTTTTACTTTAGTCTAGTTCCTTTAAACTTCTGCCGAACCCTATTTTGTGCTATTTTCTTGCTGTAATGGCTCCAGACAGAGGTAATGTCATTCTTGTGAAGATGAATGGACAAAACTATGGGATGTGGAAGTTCCATTTTGACTTTTATGTTGAAGGGAAAGGTTTAGAAGGATATCTGAATGGAACGGTCACTAAACCAGCTGAGATCGAGGCCAAGGCTTTACAATAATGGAAGTTGGATAATGGTAAGCTTGTTTCTTGGATTATGAGTTCTATTGATTATCATATATATGTACCTATGAGGAGAATGAAAACAGCCTATGAGATGTACTTGTATCTGGAAAAAGTTTATCAACAGTCCAACGTATCTAAACAGTATCAGATAGAATCAGAAATATTTTCTTATATCCAAGGAGATAGGAGGATACAAGAATATTATTATGGTTTTCTTGATTTATGGGCTGAATATGAGATTGTTCACATTGAACCCTTGGATATAGTAGAGTGTGTGAAATATCTTCAGAAACACTTTGAGAAGAGAAAGGTGACGTAGTTCTTGATGAGACTTAGACCTGAATATGAGATAATCAGGTCCAACATTCTGAGTAGGGGAGCACATCCAGATATGGATTCTGTTTAGGGGAACTTCAGAGGGAAGAGACTAGACTTCTCACTGCAGCCGGGTTTGATGGGAAGATGGCTGAAGTTGGGGCTGAAACAGCCTTTGTTGCTCATGGGGGTAAGAAGCCAACCTCCAAGTTCTTCTCCAAAACCCAGTGCTATGAGTGTAAGGGTTTTGGACACATTGCATCTCACTGTAAGAAGAAGAATGTGTGCACCTATAGCAAGCAACATGGTCACATCATTCCAAACTGTCCAGTCCGACCAGCTAAGGGTTCTTAGAAAAAAACTCAGCCCCGGGCCTATCAGGCAACAAATGGACAAGCAACAGATACTGTATCCACCAAGGGTGATTCTTTAGTGAAGGGTGATTCAACAGGTGTCATGGATGAAGGAAAGGTTTGGCAATTGGTGTCTTCTGTTATTTCCTCTGCTTTCTCTGCTATTGGCTTGTCTGGTAAGTTCTTTGCATATTGTTCTTCCTCTTCACATGTTTGGATTATAGATTTAGGTGCCACCAACCATATGACAGGAGCCTACCTCAATCACCCAAATCCTTCCACTGAAACTCACCATAAACATATTATTACTGCCAATGGTGAAAAGTTAGACATCATTGGTAGCAATGATTTATCCCTTCAACTGTTACCAACCAGATCATTTCCTCTCTCCAAAACCCTCTTAGTAATACAGGACTAGTACACTGGGAAGGTGAAAGGGAAGGGGCGTAGGTTGGGCCGTCTGTTTGTGCTGGAGTTCAAGAAAACTCAATCAGGAGCATCCTCAGCTTTACTTAGTTCTTCTTTTTCTGATTCTCTATTGAGTTATAGAAATAATATTTTGGATTTATGGCATAAACGATTGGGATATAAATATTTTGTATTTTTTATAGATGATTGTACCAGATATTCTTGGATTTATTTTCTGTGGCACAAATCAGAAGTCTTTGGTGCATTTAAATTATTTCATACTATTGTGCAAAATCGATTCAAGTGCAATGTGACTATCCTCCGCTCAGATTCAGGGGGAGAATATAGAGACAGGGACTTTTTGGCGTACTTGAGGAGTTATGGAATTCAGCATCAATGCAGTTGCCCAGACACTCCACAGTAGAATGGTGTGGCTGAACGGAAGAATGGACATATTTTTAGTGTTGTTCAGACATTACTACAGGAGTCTCATACTCTAACTTCGTTTTGGGTAGGAGCAACTAGTACAGTCATGTATTTGATCAATTTTCTTCCCTCTGTTCTAGGCAACGCTTCTCCCTTCCGAAAACTTTTTGGTCATCCCCCAGATTTCTCTAGTCTTCATGTTTTTGGTTGTCTTTGTTTTGTTCATCTTCTTGTTCGTGAACGATCTAAATTAACTGCTTAGTCTGCCATGTGTGCCTTTGTGGGATATAGTCCTGACCACAAAGGATTTTTGTGCTATGATCCTGCTATTCGTTGTATTCGGATTTCTCGGAATGTTGTGTTTCTTGAACATATATCCTTCTTTGCTAGGGTTGCTAGATTGTTCCTTCCATCTCTGTTTTGTAGGACTTTGATTCAGATGACACTACTACTTCCTCAATTGAGAGAGATTTTCTCGTCTTCACCCGCAAGTGGCTACGTGTCTTGACTCCTGCGCCTACAACCCCCCTTCCACTTGGTCCAGAGCATCCATCTCCGATATCCTCTGTAAGTGATACCTTGACATAAGATTCTCCTATTTCAGATAGTAGTTCGGTTATTCCACTTCGTCGTTTTACCTGTATTTCTCGACCCCCTGACCGCTATGGTTTTCCTTCAAACCATAGTTCCTTTTCTGCTGTACTTTCTTCAACAGATATCCCTAGATCTTATTAGCAAGCCATTAGAAGTTCTTAGTGGAAAGAAGCCATGTATTGCGAAATTCAAGCCCTCCATGATAATGATACTTGGGGGCTTGTGCCAGCTCCTCCAGATGCTTCTATTGTTGGAAGCCGTTGGGTCTATATGATCAAACTGAAGTCAGTTGGTTCCCTTGATCTAAGGCTCGGTTAGTTGCCCAAGGATACAGTCAGGAATATGGGATTGATTATGAAGAAACATTTGCCCCGATTGCTAAGATCACCACAGTTTGGACTCTTATGGCCATATCTGTTGTTCATTTCTGGACTATTTACCAATTTGATGTGAAGAATGCTTTTCTTCATGGTGAATTGAAGGAGACGATCTACATGAAACCTTCGCTTGGATATTGTAGTGATCCTTCACGTGTTTGTCGCCTAAAGAAGTCTCTATATGGTCTGAAGCAAGCATCCAGGGCTTGGTTTGAGCGCTTCCGGGATGTTGTTGTTGTAGCTGGGTATAATCAGAGTTCCTCTGATTACTCCCTCTTTGTTAAGAGAAGACCCTAGGGTATCACTATCCTTCTATTGCATGTTGATGACATGCTTCTAACTGGGGATGATCATGATGGCATTTGGGAGCTGAAGTCCTTCCTCTTCTTGGGTTTGGAGGTTCATCGTAACAGTCGAGGGTTTCTACCTTTTGGCCATCATGAACAAAGGGAGCAACTCGACATTTATCACCCTAGTTCCAAAGAAAGAGGGGACCTTGGAAGTTAAGGACTTCAGACCTATCAGTTTGGTGGGGAGTTTATACAAAGTAGTAGCTAAAGTCCTGGTGACTAGACTAAAGGAGGTGCTGAAAGATTTAATTTCAAGCAACCAGTTTGCCTTTGTGGAAGGGAGACAGAATATTGACAGTATACTAGTGGCTAATGAATGTGTAGAAGAAAGAAGACAAAGTGGCAAAGCAGAGGTAGTAATCAAGGTAGATCTGGAAAAGGCCTATGACAAAGTGGATTGGGACTGCTTGGTAGAGATTTTAAACCGAGAGGTTTTGGAAGTAGGTAGGTGAGATGGATTAGAGGGTG